GTAACCATTATTGTCGATTTGTTGATAAACAGATGAAGTTTCCTAGGTAACAATAATGCCGAGTAAACAATTGACGTTTGCTAGGTAACAATAATACCGAGTAAACAATTGACGTTTCCAAGGTAACATAACAATGCAGTTACACTTTTTCGTTTCACTTTTTGCCTAATGACACTGACCAGAAAATATAGACGTATTTACGTCAAAAAAATAATTATTTTTTTCAAACCTTCTCTCTATCCAATGCCTGCCACAACCGGTCTCCGCCGGACCCGGTCCCTGCCGTACACAGTCTGTGCATGATCGAGCTTGTGTATCGCCCGGTCTGTGCCGGGCCGATTCTGCAAAACCGGGCAGAGACAGGCTGAGACAGATAACTAGTCTGGCAGAGCTCGGGTGTGGCAGTTACAGGTTCTGGATGTGACCAGGTAGTAACAATTTCAAAGAATTATTTTCAGGTTTTCAATTAAATCAAAAAGTGCTGGAAATTATTTAAAAAGTAGGTAACAAAATTGCCAAGTAATGTAACGTTTCCTAGGTAACCATTATTGTCGATTTGTTGATAAACAGATGAAGTTTCCTAGGTAACAATAATGCCGAGTAAACAATTGACGTTTGCTAGGTAACAATAATACCGAGTAAACAATTGACGTTTCCAAGGTAACATAACAATGCAGTTACACTTTTTCGTTTCACTTTTTGCCGAATGACACTGACCCTAAAATATAGACGCAAACCTTCTCTCTATCCAATGCCTGCCACAACCGGTCTCCGCCGGACCCGGTCCCTGCCGTACACAGTCTGTGCATGATCGAGCTTGTGTATCGCCCGGTCTGTGCCGGGCCGATTCTGCAAAACCGGGCAGAGACAGGCTGAGACAGATAACTAGTCTGGCAGAGCTCGGGTGTGGCAGTTACAGGTTCTGGATGTGACCAGGTAGTAACAATTTCAAAGAATTATTTTCAGGTTTTCAATTAAATCAAAAAGTGCTGGAAATTATTTAAAAAGCGCACAACAATTTTTTCAAAATATTTGAAAATTATTTTGAAGTTCAAATTTTTCAAAATTTCTTACTTTTGTGCGGTTCTTCGACAGTTCCCATCATATCTTCATTTTTCGAAAATTTTAAAAAAGATTAAATGTTTTTAAAATTCTCCTCACACGATCCCTACTATTCGGACAATACCGCGCCCGGTCTCTGTCGAATCTTGTCTCTGACGCAAACTGTCTCTGTCCTATCGATCCGGTCAGTATCACCCGGTCTCTGCTGCGCCGTCTCTGCAAAGACGGGTGTGGCAGAGGCTGGGTGAGGTAGACCCCGAGTCCTGCAGAGGCCGAGTGAAACAGCTACCGAGTCCGTCAGAACTGGTGAGGCAGAGACGGAGCCCGGCAGGGACCGGTAAAGCAGAGACCTAGTCTGGCAGAGACCGGGTTTGGTAGGGATTGGGTAGCCAAATTTTTAAGAAAATCGAATTTCGAATGTAAAAACATTTGAAATAGTTTAACATCAAAATAATTTGCAAACATTTCAAAAATTTGTTATATTGTTCGTCTTAAGAAAATTTCCATCATTTTTTATTTTTCGAAAATTTTCAAAAAAATCAGAATTTTTCCTTACCAGTCCCACTCATAAACGGTCCCTAACGGAAACGGATTCTGCCAAACCCGGGCCCTTTTATTCTGTCTGTGCCTCGCCAAGTCTCTGCCGGATTCTCTCTCGGCTTCTGCTTGATATACGGGACAAATATTGAGAAAAAGAATTCGAAATCTTTAAATTTCTTGATACATGAACTTTGTTAAAGCTTCTATATATCTCTCTATATCTATCTATTTATCTATCTATCCATTTATCTATCTATCTATCTATTCATCCATCCATCCATTTGTAGGTTAACCCAATAGTGGGTCCTTCCTGCCTCCTTTCGGATGTTTCCTAGTCTTTAAAGCGTGCATTCATGAGTAGTGTTTGACACGCCCACTGAAAGCCATTTGTGAATTTGTTTTATGTATGCAGTGGAATTGCCTCAATAAAGTGTAAAGAACTCCACAATTTTACTGAAAAAAATTGTTAAGTCATAGTTTTGGCCAACATTGTAACATTTTATTGGTATTTATTGACGTCAAAAATCGCCTTTCTTTACTGTGGAAACAAATGTGCTGGGAATCGCTTGTGGAAAAAGTGAGTCGTACACAACATACTTTTGTGCAATTGAAAACCTTTCCAAAAAACAATAATCCAATATACACGTTTCATTCGAATTTTTAAGATTTTTAGTTATCATCGGTTATTCTTGAGAGATAATCTGTGGATGCATTGCAAAATATATATACGACTATGGCCACCAGATGACAGCACTGGAGCGTGATCCTTAACTTTGTGTATTATCGTAACTAATTTCAGGGCTGTGGAGTCGGAGTCGGAGTCGGTAAAAAGGAACCGGCTCCGACTCCGACTCCGACCTCGATATAAAATCTTAAGAACACTTTCGTTACCATTTGAGACGCCGACGGCCTCACGCTTAGGGAGATTCAACGACGCGTTAAACCACGTGGTGTGGGAATAATGCTTTGTAACTTTGGCTCGTGTATCGTAAGAATACAAACTGTCTAGAAATCAACCGATTTCTGCAAAAACCATTAGACGTATATTTAAATGTAAGACTTAAATCTAATAAGTAGCCTGATGATTCACGAGGTGGTGATGAAATCTCTTGTGGTACATTTTACCATTTTAGTAGGTTTACCCTTACTAACAAATATTTAGCTTTTATGAAGGAGTCGGAGGGTGTAGTTCTGACTCCACAGCGCTGATTAACATTGTACCTCAAGAACATACGTTTTTCTAATACTAAATGCCAAAAACAATTGAAATCAAGGCATGTCTTATGAATTTTTTATCCATTACAGTACATAAGTCCCGATAAATACGACTATAAGAATTCTCAGTACTGATATAAAGTTCTTTGTGTTTTAGGAATAAAAAAGCATTTACTTGCATTTATATCACCTAACAAGAATGGGACCATATTGGATGACATTAAATTCATCCTGTACTTAATCTTCGTCTTCGTAGTGATAATAGGTAAGTAAATTTTGACTCACATGATTTTACCAGGACTACAGTGTAACTGATGCTCAGACAGGGTACTGCAACCAGGAGGGTTTAATGAAACAGATTAATTGTACTGCCTACATAGTAAAGTCCTATTTTCGATTTTATGTTATTATGTACATTACGATCATTTCCTCACCCTCATTACGTAACATTAGCACCTTGTGACCTCTACTTTACAGGTGTGTGTATTTAACAGGGAGGGAAAACTACAGTCCAATTTGGAATATGTAACCGACCAGATAGCTTACCGAAACGGAAGGTTCATCACCGAGTTAACCAAAGCTCTTTACTGTACCCTTTCGTAGGCCAACGAAATACAGTCTCCTTCAACTCATATCTCCCATAGATCCCGCCTGACATTATCCTCCCATCTACGTCTAGGTCTTCATAGCGATGTCTTTCCCTCAGGTTTCCCAACCAATACCCGGTGCACACATCTAGTCCCATCCATGCACGCTACATGCCCCGCCCACCTCATTCTTCTTGACTTAATCACTCTGACAATATTGAGGGTGGATTACAAATTTTTAAGTTTCTCTATATGTAGTTTTCTCCAGACAACGCCACCTCTCTTAGGCCCAAATATTGGAATACATACACATTCAAACAAATTCTCTGTGATTTGGAAAGTTCACTCATCTTGGTATTTATTTAATCAAGTTGCATATCAACACTTGTTTAGCTAAACTGTGGTTCAAGTACTTCTCGTTACAGAATTATAAATTCCATTGTCGATAAAGCTAATCAATAGTTCAGATGTTAAATCTATAGGGAACACAATGTTTTTCTTTTCTATTAAATACGTAAGACAAATAATTTCCCAAAGGAAAGTTACAGATCTTCACGAGTTCCGTATTTTACATCAGTTTCTATAAGCCCTCTTTGAGGAATGTCATTTCCTGGTAAACATTTGGTCATGCCACAGCCCTGAATTATGAAAATGATTCAGTGCATGTATTTCAACTGAAAAAGTGAAAAAGTTATAATTTCATTTACACTCAGATAAAGGTCTGTAATTGCTTAAATAACAGGATTGTCTTAATTTCTCTGTCTTCTCCTGTGATCTAAGTTCTACCCACTGGAATTGTTTAAATATATTGAAAATATCACTTTATTTTCTCAGGAATATTGGGGAATTCACCCAACATGTGGTATTGGTGCAAAAACCATGTTTGTGATTCCATTGCGAACACTAATTTTCAAGATGGTACTGAAGAAATAAACTTCTATAACATGTCAAGCATACCTCAGTTCTGGAAGGTATGAATTTAAGATAAATATGCGATTGAGACATACATAAATGCTGTTATGTGGAGTTAATGAAATGATTTAAGAAAATCATTTGCTAATTAAGTAATTAAAAAGTCGCAATATTACTATAAAAAAGTTATCCAACTGCACAAGAAATTTTCTATTATGGTACCAGAAGGTTAATTAATATCACTTTCAAGTCAGTGTCCATACAAATAAATCCGACCTGATGCTTCCAACTGGCTTCTTTCTGTGAAATTTTCGAAATAAAATTTTGTACGAATTCCATCTGTCTGCATAATTTTTATATGGCCTGCCAATCTCAATATTCCAGATTTAATCACCCTGACAGCATTATGCAAAGTAATGAAGCAACACTTTCCCATTCTTATCATACTTTTTCTATCTTGGTGCAGAGAAATTGTTCTATAAATTTTATTCTTCAGGTTTTGGAAAGACCACATGAAGGTGACCCCTTGTTAACTGTCTAACATTTTATTGCAAACATTCACAACTTCTGTCTATATTCAAGATGAAATAAATATCACATTTTATTAGGGACTGAAAATTTGTACTATTAACCACCCAACACTGTTTGCATGAGAAAACCACGAGAGATGAAATGGATAGGAAATCTAATGTTCAAGAAACATGTTCATAATTTTGGTTGAAAAATTCAAGGAAAGAGCGATTGGGACATACATAAATGCTTAAATGTAGAGATAATGAAGTGATTTAAGAAACTCATATTCTAATTAAGTGATTAAGCAGTCGACATTGTTACTATAAAAAAGTTATTCAACTGTACAAGTAATTTTCTAATATGTTACCAGTCGATTAATTAAAATCACTTTAATGTCAGTGTCCATACAAATAAATCCGACCTGGTGTACCCAAATGGTCTCTTTCTACGAAATCTTAGAAATAATATTTTGTACGAATTCCATCTGTCTGCATAATTTTTGTATGGCCTGCCAATCTCAATCTTCGAGATTTAATCACCCTGACAGCATTATGCAAAGTAATGAAGCAACACTTTTCCATTCTTATCATACTTTTTCTATCTTGGTGCAGAGAAATTGTTCTATAAATTTTATTCTTCAGGTTTTGGAAAGACCACATGAAGGTAACACCCTTGTTAAAAATCTGTGGCATATTATTGCAAATATTCACAACTTCTGTGTATATTCAAGATGAATTAAATAGCACATTTTATTGGGGACTCAAAATCTTTTCTATTAACCCCTCAACACTGTTTGCATGAGGAAAACATGTAATACGAAATGGATAGAAAAATAATGTTCAAGAAACGTGTTCATAATTTTGATTCAAAAACTCAAGGAAAGAGTCCACTTCGAAAACATTGGCATATATATAAAAGAACAGTATTAAAAAGTGTTCTGGAAGAAGGCAGGCGATTAACTAATTTTGCTTTTAGTTCACAGAGACTGTACTAATCGACAGTATTTACGGGAAATCCGAAAATGTTAAAAATCAAGCATTTGTGTTGCAAGATAGTA